TTTTAAAAAAGAATGTTTTGGGGTGTCTGGGTGGCTCAATTGGTTGAGTGTCTGACTCTTGATCTCGCAGTTCTTGAGATTGAGCCTTGCAGGCTCCATGCTGACAGCACGGAGCCTGCATGGAATCCTCTCTCTCCTTCTCTCTCTGCCCCTCCCCTATTCACACACACACTCTCAAATAAACTTAAAAAAACAGAAATAATTTAAAAAATGTTTTTGGAAAGCCTAAATTAATGAGTTATAAGCCTTTTTCATAGGCTTTTTCATAGAACTGTGTGGTTAACTGTGGGTCCATATAGTCATTTGTTATATCCCTGGTGATGAGAAATGATTTCCTCTAACCTTCCAATAAAGCAGTGGACACACAGTTCTCATTTTCTCCTTCTATTGCTGAAACAGAGGGACATGTGTGTGTTATTAAAAATTAAGTTCAAAATGCTTAAAATCTGTATTAGAAACTTGACTCTATCATAAGTCTCTTTTTGGAAAGCACATTGGACTAGTTAAGTGTACCAGTTTCACTGTTATTAACACTTAGGAAGCAGAATATTTCCAGCTAGCTCATATTGAAGGGTTTAATTACTTCAACAGTGTCCCCAGATTGGCTGTGTGTGTTCGATAAATGTTGCTGCTCTTCCTCTGGCAGAATTTGCTCCTGGATTCTGTAGTTCACTTATTTGGCAGCTTTTTTGCTATTACTGTAAATATTTCACTTACACTCATTGATGTTTTAGCTGATGTCTCTGTGAATAATAAATTTGTCATCTGCATAGGATTGTGCTTCCTGGAAATCTACAGCTCATTTATTCTAGGTCAACTTTGTTTCCTGGTAAAGCTATGACAGTGTTAGGACTTGCTTGCCTCTGAAGTTCTTTAACCCAGTTTTTTGCTCTTGCAAAGAACTTCTCATTTGAGATCTCTTATTCAAGTCTGGCTACCTGTGCTCCTCTGTGGTACATTGATGTTAGGCATTAGTATCATTCTTGACCTGCCGCATCCCCTACTTCTGACTTCACGGTTGTATTATCAAACTAGCCAGTTTGGGGTACAAAAGCAGCCACAGCGGTATTCTCTTGAAATTCATGAAATTGACCCTTCACAAAACAAAGAACTAAGCTTGATGTGCCAACAGCAGACTCTTCCTGAAGTACTAGTTTGAACTGGCATATTTTATACAGCATTGGCCTGTTGGGTCTTGTTGCTGCTCAATTAGCCATGTCTAAATTTGAAAGAGGTCCTGATTTCAAGCTCCTAAATGAATTTCCAGGATGCAGGGTGTCAATTTTTTTCTTTCCGGAGGCAAAGAAACCTGAGACTACCCATGTAGCTGTGAAGCCAGAGTTCCCTGGCAACAGATCCTGGGCATAGGTGAAGGAGGAGACTGAGCTTGAGGCTGTGGCTTTGGTGAAGGCAGTATCTCCTCTTCCTCTTGATTTTAACTCAGTTCCATGTGGTCAGAGACTGTACTCAATAAGATTTCAGTCCTTTGAAACTTCTAGAGACTTCTTTTATTGCCCAGCATATAGTTTCTATTGTGCAATGTGCTTTTGTTTGGTAGAACATTCTATAAATGTCAGTTAGATAAACTTGATTGAAGATTGTTCATGCCTTCTATATCCTTATTGATTTTCTACTTATTCTATCCATTACTGAGAGAGGGGTATTAAAATCTCTGGCTGTAATAATTGCAGATTTTTCTATTTATCCTTGAAGCTCTGCCACTTTTTGCTGTGAAGTAAAATACATGAATATTTTGAAGCACTGTTTTTAGATGCATTATAGCATATTTAGGATTGTTTTGCCTTCTTATGGATTGATCCTTTTATCTTTGTCCCTGACAATATTCCTTGTCCTGAAGTCTGCATTTTGATGTTAATATAGCAATATTATTATTATTATTTCAATATTTTTATTATTAAAGTATGTCTTGTAGATAGCATTAAGTGTTGCTATTTAATCCAGTCTGTCCTTCTCTACATTCTAATTGGAGTGATTAGACCATTTACTTCTTAAAAAAATTTTTTTTAATGTTTTTATTTATTTTTGAGACAGAGACAGAGCATGAGCAGGGGAGGGGCAGAGAGAGAGAGACACACACACAGAATCCAAAGCAGGCTCCAGGCTCTGAGCTGTCAGCCCAGAGCCCAATGCAGGGCCAGACCCATGTATGTGAGATCATGACCTGAGCCGAAGTCGGAGGCTTCACTGATTGAGCCACCCAGTGCCCCCAAAAAATGTTTTTTGAAGTTTATTTTGAGAGAGAGAGAGAGAGCCCATATGTGTACTTATGTGAACAGGGGAGGGGCAGAGAGGAAGCGGGGAGAGAATTCCGAGCAGGCTCTGCACTGTCAGAACCATGAGATTATGACCTGAGCTGAGATTAAGAGTCAGACGCTTAACCAACTGAGCCACCCAAGTGCCCCCTAGACCATTTACTTTTAGTATTTATTTGCTTGGTTTGGTATAACTCTATCCATTTTGTTACCTTTTTTTAATATTTGTCTTAGCTAATCTTCTCTCCTTGTCTTATTTTATTTTACTTCATTTTATTTTTTAATGTTTTATTTATTTCTGAGAGAGAGAGAGACAGTGTGAGCAGGGGAGGGTCAGAGAGAGAGGGAGATACAGAATCTGAAACAGACTCCACGCTCTGAGCTGGCTGTCAACACAGAGCCTGACGCGGGGCTTGAACCCACAAACCGTGAGATCATGACCTGAGCCGAAGTCAGACACTTAATTGACTGAGCCACCCAGGCGCCCCTCCTTGTCTTACTTTAGATAAATTGAGTATTTTCTAAGTATTCCATTTTATCTCCATTTTTGGAGCTTACTATCTATAGCTCTCTTTTTTTCTAATTGGTTGCTTTAGAGTTTACAGTGTGCAATTTCAGCTTATCATAATCTACCTTCAAGCAGTATTCCATACTAAGAATAATGTCTGAATCTTCTTTCAGAATAGTGCATTTTTTTCTCCTCTCTCTTTTATTCAATGTCCATTTATTTTTGAGAGAGACAGAGACAGAGTTCAAGTGGGGAAGGGGCAGAGAGAGAGGGAGACAGAATCTGAGGCAGACTCCAAGCTCTGAGCTGTCAGCACAGAGCCCAATGCGGGGCTTGAACTCACAGACTGTGAGATCATGACCTGAGCTGAAGTCGGATGTTTAACCGACTGAGTCACCCAGGCTCCCCTTAAAAGGACTTTTAATGTCCTTTGCTAATTTTATCACTTCTGTCATTTCTATATCTATTTCTATTGAAAGATCTTTTTCTTGGTTATTGGTCACATTTCCCTGCTCTTTTGCCTGTTCAGTGACTTTTGATGAGATATTGAACATTGAATGTTATAGATATGAGCATTTAAAAAGTTTGTTTAATATTTATTCTTGAAAAAGAGAGGGAGCACATGTGCACAAGTGGGGGAGGGGAAAGGAGAGGGAGAGAAACACAGACTCTGAAGCAGGGTCCACGCTCCTAACTGTCAGTACAGAGCCCAGCATGGGGCCCAAACTCATGAACCACAAGATCAAGACCTGAACCAAAGTCAAACATTTAACCACCTGAGCCACCCAAGTTCCCTGGTAGGAGCATTTTTGAGTGTGGATTTTATCTTCCTTTAAAAGGCATTGGGCTTATTTTTTCTATCAGCAGTTAAATTAACTTGATTCTCAGCTTGATCCTCTTAACTTTTTTTTGTATAGGTCTAAAATTAAAGTGGCCTTTACTGCAAGGCTAATTTAGTTGCAAAGGCCTTGCCGTATGGGTATCTCTACCAAAAGCTATGGTCTCTATACTTTGGTTGGTTGGAAATGCAAATTTCTCTCAACCCGTGTGAAATTTTAGAATTACTCATTTTTCAGTTCCCTGGTCATTCTTTGCCTAGTCTTGTGGAATTACACTTTACTCATGCTTTTCTTAGTATTAAGCAAAAACTCAAAGGGAGACCAATTCAGATTTATAGGACTCCTACATAGTTCCCTCCTCTCTGGAATTTAGCACCTTGTCTTCCAGCTACCTCAGTCTCCCTTAACTTCTTCTTCTTCTTTTTTTTTTTTTAAGTTTATTTATTTTGAGAGAGAGCCAGAGAGAAAGAGAGAAGGAATTCCAAGTAGGCTCTGCACTGTCACCGCAAAGTCCAACACTGGGCTCAGACTCACAAACCTTGAGATCATGACCTGAACGGAGATGAAGAGGCAAACGCTCAACCAACATAGCGACCCAGGCTCCCCTCCCTTTACTTCTGTCTTATAATTTAAGCATAACCACTGTGTTTTGCTTGGATTGCCTTCCCTGTACTTGGTCCAACATGTGCCTTCAGACAGAAAGCTGGCACAATTATACATTTAGGTTTATAATGTATTTCAAATTAATATTTGTATGTGGTATGAGGTTGAGGTCAAGGTTCATTTTTTTTCTGTGTAAATTTCTTGTTTCAGTACTACTGGTTGAAAAGACTCTCCTTTCCCCATCAAATTATATTGGCACCTTTATTTATTTTTTATTTTTAAATGTTTTTTATTTATTTCTAGGAGAGAGAGAGAGAGACAGCGTGAGCAGGGGAGGGTCAGAGAGAGAGGGAGTGACAGACTCTGAAACAGGCTCCAGACTCTGAGCTGGCAGTCAGCACAGAGCCCGACGTGGGGCTCGAACCGACGAACTGCGAGATCATGACCTAAGCGAAAGTCGGACGCTTAACCGACTAAGCCACCCAGGCGCCCCTATATTGGCACCTTTAATGGCATATAAACGTGTGTCTGTTTTTGGACTCTTTCTTTCCATTGATCTTTGTCTGTTTTCATACTAATTCTATACTGTGGCTTAGGATATGAATTCATGAACAATCGCATGAGTGGCTCTGACATGAATAAATATTTCATTTGACTTTATAGTGTCCTGAAAAATGTATTTGAAATGCAGTATATTTACTAATTTGAATGTAATGCTATGGTATTTCATTTAACAATTGAATGAAGAGATTTATTTTAAACATACTTATCTTACAGAGACCTCTTAATAAAAGTGAAATTTGGAGAAAGCATTGAGGACTTACAGACCTGCCGACTCTTAATTAAACAGTACATCCCAGCAGGACTTTTTGTGGATCCGTATGAGTTGGCTTCATTACAAGAGAGAAACATAACAGAGGTATAACTACTAGAGAATTCTTTTGAGAGAGAAATTATATTAGGGATACTATAATTTGGATTAAGGAAAAATAGACAAGGCAACATGTGCCCTTTATTCATTTTGTCAAAGTGTATAAAGTAACTTTTCAGATAGGATGGGAATAATCTTTAAAAAATGAGTGATATGTGTCAAACTTGTCAGTAATAAACCAACTAAACTGAACTAGCTAAATGCTTTTTGTCAGAATGGCTCCTAGTTTAGTGACTAAGAATATGATATATTTTTGTGAAGATAATTATTAATAAACACTGCTTCAGCATTTAACAATATTGTTAGATTGACATATACCCCAACATGTATGTAATTCAGATGTGGGAAGAAAGGAAGCTGATATTAATTGCTTATATGCAATTAATTATTATAATTGCAATTATAGCATAATAGCTATATTTTGTATAATTGTATAATTATATGCAATTATAGCATAATAGCTATATGCCAGGTATCTTCATTTTTCTTAAGGAAGCAAGGTATATTAGGCATTAGAGAAAGATTATGTCCCATACCTTCTGCACAGATCAATCTTTATAAAAACCCTAGAAGTATTACCTTTCCATTTTATAGATAAGGAACCTGAGGCATAAAGATGCCAAGTAACTTATCCAGAATCACACAGGTAAATGGAAGAGCTAAGACATAAATCCAGGATTCTCTAATTGCTCTTTCCAGAAATAAATCTTATTCCTTAGTTAATGGTTTCCCTAAATTTTGGTAAGAATTACTTGTGGCTGCTTTTTGTGCAGATTATGCTTTCTGGGAAGTCTTAATTCAGTAGGTCTAGATTGGACCCAAGAATCTGCTTTTAACAACTCAGATGATTCCTGTTAAGAAATTTTGGGAAACCTTTGTTCATAAGATTACAATCTCTATAGAAATATAAAAAAGGTAAAATAAGTATACTATACTTGAAGTAATTTATAATGACATTTTATTTCTAATTGTGGTTTAGGTCAGTGTCTTCACCTGTTTTAATTACTTACTTAAATTCCTATTTGAATAGCTAATTATATTCTCGTGGTTCAGAATTCAGGAAGTATGAAAATGATGGTGTACAATGATGAGCTTCCACCTATCTGAACCCTCATTTACCGAATTTCTTCCTGTGTTGGGGGTTTTTTGCACATGTGTGACAGTGTTGATAAACATGTTCACATATATGGAAGTGTCAGTATATGTACCCATGTGGAAAGACCTCATTGCTTTTTTCCTCATTTGTTTCTTTCCTTCACTGAGTCATGAATTTTGAATGAGGCTTTTGAAATTTTAATAATAGGTTTCAAATTTAAATGCAATTCTTGGCTTGTAGTGACATGGATTGGAATCATATTTAAACTTCCTTAATAAAATTGCCTACCGTGTTTTAAGAAAAAGGAATTATTTTTGCATAGGAATATCCCAAAAGAGATCACATGCCTACCCTCTTGATTGGCATCAGATTGGGGTATGTGTGGATAATTGTAACAGGAAAACTGGGCAGGCAAAGGATGCCATTTTGGATTGATTGACAAGTTCATCGATTTTGTTTCCTAATTTTCTTTTTCTTTTTTTTCTTTTGGAGAGAGAGCAAGTGAGCTAGGGGCAGAGAGAGAGAGAGAGGGAGATAGAGAGAAAGTCCTCAAGTGGGGCTCGAGCTCACCCCAGGCGGGGCTCGAGCTCACCCAATATGGGGCTCAAACTTAAGGAACTGTGAGACCATGATCTGGACCAAAGTCAGATGCTTAATAGACTGAGCCACCAAGGTGTCCATTGTTTCCAAATTTTTTAATCCATAATTATAAGATTTTTTGGGATGCCTGGTGGCTCATTCAGTTGGGCGGCCGACTTCGGCTGAGGTCATGATCTTAACGGTTTGTGGGTTTGAGCCCTGCGTCAGCTCAGAGCCTGGAGGCTGTTTCAGATTCTGTGTCTCCCTCTCTCTCTGACCCTCCCCTTCTCACGCTGTCTCTCTCTCTCTCTCAGAAATAAAATAAAAACCGTTAAAAAAAATTAAAGACCTTGAAGTGAATTTACTTTTTCATTTGGCAATTTATAGAAAAATAGATGTCTCATTTGTGACACATAGATAATTGAAAGTTGATTTCCTGATATATAAGACGCTATTTCCTTCTTCCTAGTTGAGTTGAGACTCTGGCCCAGTTGTTTGTGCAGAGAAACTTTGTCACAAGAAGTGGTATCCAACTGGATAGAAGGAAATTTGTATATAGGGAATGACCGATGCTAATATATTTAGATAGAGACCTTGACTGTTCCATGAGATAAAATTTGTGACTGCAGCAAATAGAACAATGGGTTCAAATTAAATGAGTGATGTGTGGCAACAAAATGTGTTGTGAGTAGTTTGTGATGGTTTATGAGCAATTTGAAAATAAAGACAAGCTTTAAATAGATTCACCATGGATAGGGCACATCAAGTGAATCTCATTTCATTTTTAGATGAGACTATTAGATATACTTAAAATCTCTCATGCACTTTGAAAACAGCATAATATTAGATTGAAAATATGAAATTGCTGTACTATAGGTCAGTGCTGTATTTTTGAAAAAATAAGTTATACTCAGTCAAAATATGTAGTATTAGGATCAATGCCCTGACCAAGTTGGAGGGCAGTGACGAAATTTACTCTCACACTTGAAACCAATAAATAGACAAAATATATGAAATAATGGAAAAGATCATTGAATATCAGACATTGAGAACCGTGATATCTGAAGTAAACGGGTGATAAATAAGATGAGCTCTACAACCATCCCAGCTTACTGCCTTGGAAAGTTTTCACACTCTAGTCTAGGGAGCAGGAGCCCAAACAGAAACTGGTGGACTTCTTGAGTTAAGGAGATGAAGGTGAGATTCAGGGGAGACAAAGGTCAACAGGATTCACAAGACAGCATCATAGAGAGGAGAGAATTGCGTAGAGACAACTCCAGAGATCTATAAAAGATTCCCTTCAAGTACATAGTTGAGTATTGATTAGTGTGTGCATGCGAGGAAACTACTCACTGCTGGGAAAATAACCATATGAAAAAATGAGAGGTTACAGTGTCTGATACTCCTATAGGGCCAGTAGTAGTGTCTACTCCCAGCAGCCAGGCTAGGAAAAGCCTCATGATTCATTGGGCATTAGATAGAGTAAATAGAAGAAATTTTACTCAGTAGTGGGGGACACTTAGCCCTAGACTGAACATTATGGCAGTTCTGTTTAATAAATCTTAAAAGCAAAACCTTCAGAAAACCAAACTGTTTGCAAGTGACTTTACTGCATACAAGCAAAGCTCAAGAATACTTATAGGAATACAGAAGTATCCAGCACCCAATAAGATCAAAATCACATGTCTTGATTCTCTTAAAAAATTAGCAGGTATGAAAAGATGAGGGAAAATATGACCCGTAATGAGATAAATGAATCAATCAAAACTAATCCAGAACTGACCCACATATTAGAATTAACAGACAGGCCATGAAAACAGTTATTATAACTGTATTCCTATGTTCGAAAAAGTAAGTAGAGATATGGAAGATACATAAGAGGGCAGCATTGAACTTGTGAAGAAAGTAATGGCATTCAAGCATTGCAGAAGAAAAGATTAATAAACTTGAAAACATAATAATAGAAACCACCAAAAATATAAAACATTAAAAAATAGAAACATAGAAAGTAAATGAAGCAGTAGTGAGTTTTGGGACAACTTCAAGTGGCCTGCTGTCCCTGTGATTAGACTCTCTTGGAGAGAAATCTCTACCCCATATTCCTTACAACATTATTCACAGTAGACAAGCTATGTAAACAACCTAAGTGTCCATCAACAGAGGAATGGATAAAGAAAATATGTCTGTATATATATATACAGTGGAATGTTACCTCTAAAAAGGAAGAAAATCCTGCCATTTACATCAGCACACATGAACCTTGAGGGCATTATGCTAAGTGAAGTGAGTCAGACAGAGAAAAACAAATCTCACTTATATGTGGAATCTTAAAAAAAAAAACAAAAAACTGAACTCAGATTGGTAGATTGGTGGTGGTTGCCAGGAGCAAGAATATGGGAGAAATGGGAAGGTGGTCGAAGAGTACAAACACCCAGTTATAAGATGAGTAAGTTCTGGGAATCTAGCGTATAGTATGGTGACTGTAGTTAATAATAATGTGTATTTGAAAGTTGTTAAGAGAAAAGAGTATGCTTTAAAATTTTTCATTGGAGTCGCCTGGGCTGGCTTGGTTGGTAGAATATGTGACTTTTAAGTTCATTTATTTTGAGAGAGAAAGAAAGCATGAGTGGGAGGAGGGGCAGAGGAAGGGAGAAAGAGAGAATCCCAAGCAGGCTCCGCACTGTCAGTACAGAGTCCAACGCAGGGTTTGAGCTCAAGAACTGCGAGATCATGACCAGAGCCAAAGTGGGATGCTTAACTGCCTGAGCCATCCAGGCACCCCAGGAATAGATCATTAAAGAAATGTACTGTTAGAGTTAACATCTCAGTGTCAGAAAAGTATTTACATTTCATTTTCATAAAGTTCCACGTTTGTAGATTGTAGAAGTTGTTCAGAGGCACCAGTTACTATGTGTTAAGGGAAGAATTTTTTTTGAAGAGCTCTAGTCCATGAGAGAAAGATATGGTGAATGTTACTGATATGGCACAATTTCAAAGCTTGATTCATTTAGCTCAGTGTAGTGGTTTGTGATATATGTAGTCACATGACACCACTCAGCTACTGTCATGAAAGAGTATAGATCCATGTCTGTTAACCAGTTTATGCTCCTTTTGGATTAATTTTTGATGCATAATTTCAGGTTTTTGATAGTACATTATTGCTATTTTATCTGTGGCGAAAATGGAATAACAAAATATTTTTTTGCAGATCAGTATATAGTCACTGGGCTTTTGGGGTTCCATTGGTAGTTGAGGCACATATTTGGGAAATCTATTAGCATCTAGCCATTGTCCAGATTACTTTTGATTGTCAGGTTGTGATGTCCAAAAATATTTTTCTGTTGTTTTAAATCTCAAGTGATATACACACCTCTAGCTGTCTGAGGTTTTGATCACCTGTCAATTGATGTACCTACTTGTACAGTTTTTTCCTCTTCCCTATTGTAGATAGGTTTTATTTTATTTTATTTTTTTTAATGTTTTATTTATTTCTAGGAGAGAGAGAGAGAGAGACAGCGTGAGCAGGGGAGGGTCAGAGAGAGAGGGAGTCACAGACTGAAACAGGCTCCAGGCTCCGAGCTGGCAGTCAGCACAGAGCGCGACGCGGGGCTCGAACCCACGAACCGCGAGATCATGACCTAAGCGAAAGTCGGACGCTTAACCGACTAAGCCACCCAGGCGCCCCAAGATAGGTTTTAAAAAACTCTTAGCTGAAACTCCTATATCACCTCCAAGACCTCAAATTGTTGTTTGTGGATTAGCTTGTGTTGGTTCTTAATTGATCTTGGTTTAAATTTCTTTTTTTTTTTTTTTTTAATGTTTTATTTCTAGGAGAAAGAGAGAGAGACAGCGTGAGCAGGGGAGGGTGAGAGAGAGAGGGAGACACAGACTCTGAAACAGGCTCCAGGCTGTGAGCTGGCAGTCAGCACAGAGCCCGACGCGGGGCTCGAACCCACGAACCGCGAGATCATGACCTAAGCGAAAGTCGGACGCTTAACCAACTAAGCCACCCATGCGCCCCGGTCTTGGTTTAAAGTGGATTTAGGTCTTTGTTGAAGTTCATGTAAAAAAAAAAAAATGATTCTCATTCTAAAAATTGAGATACGATTCACATCACAAAATTCACCCTTTTGAAATGTGTAATTTAGTAGTTTTTAGTATATTCATAAAATTGTACAACCATCACAACTATTCTAGAATATTTTCATTATTTGCAAAGAAACCTTTATAAGGCTAACTTTTGAGTTTCAGATGCCTGGTGTAAAAATTTTTGAACCATTACCAAGTAACTCTGACCAACAGAACCCTCTTTGAAGGCCAAATTGTTATTTCTTCTAGCCTCATTTTCATTATATCCCAACTTCAATTCTTATTTTAAAAATTCTCAATTCTGAGAAGTTACCATATGTTTATTTCTATGGAAAAAAACAATAAGTAAAAAATAAAATAATATTTAGAGAAATTGAAGATCATCGTGCCATATACTGATACACTTTATATCAGTTCTACTTATGCTTAATTTTCAGCTACAAGCATATCTCATTTTATTGTACTTCACTTTATTGTACTTCACAGATACCGTGTTTTGTTACAAATTGAAGGTTTGTGGCAACTCTGTGCAAGCAAGCCTGTCAGCATCATTTTTCTAATCTCATTTTCTCACTTCATGTCTCAGTATCACATTTTGGTAATTCTCATATTTTTAACTTTTTTATTATTATTATATTTGTTATGGTGATCTGTGCAGTGATTATAACTTGCTGAAAGCTTAGATGCTGGTTAGCATTTTTTAGCAATATCTTTAAGGTGTGTACATTGGCTTTTTTAAGGAGTAATGCTATTACACACTTAACAATATAGTAGAAGCATAACTTTTATTTGCATTGGGAAGCCAAAGGATTCATTTGATTTGCTTTATTGCGGTGATCAAGAACCAAACCCACCGTATTTGTATTAAATATTAGTTTTTTTGTTTAGTTTAACCTAATTAAATAAGGGAGTCTGCATATCTGGCTTTGAATCTTAACTCCTCTACTTATTCTTTATATTGTTTATCCACTCAGATACTTTGCTCATTTATATAATAAGGCCAATAGTTCCTACCAGATAGGGTTCTTTTGAAAATTAAAGGAGATAATGTATATAAACCACTTAATGAAATACTTGTCAACATAGTAACTACTTAAAGAAAGATATCTTTATTATTATCAGGTCATATATACATAAGGTAGGTGGAAGGGGCACCTAGGTGGCTCAGTCAGTTAAGCATCCAACTTCAACTCAGGTCACGATCTCACAGCTCATGAGTTCAAGCCCTGCGTCGGGCTCTGTGCTGACAGCTCAGAGCCTGGAGCCTGCTTCAATTTCTATGCCTCCCTCTTTCCCTCTGCCCCTCCCCCTAAGATGTTCACAAGATAAGATAGAACATTTTGGGCTGTTTTTTTAACTTACATCTAGTTTTATCCAAGGAGAGAGTTAAATTTGTACCAGGAAGTCTCTAATAATATTCCTTAGGATTTTGCTCTTTATCCTTCTGGTCAGTGTTTTTATCCTTAGATAAAAATACAGAAGATATAGTTACCAAATTCATAAATGTTACATAAATGTTGGTTGACAGGTTGGATTTCAATTAAATCTCAACATCCTGGAAAAACCAGATCGTAGCCAGGAAGATAAAATTTAATAGAGATAAATCTAAAGCCCTTCATTTAGTTAGTAATAAGTCAGTTATTTGAAAAAATAGTGTGGGAGTTTCTTAAAGTTTTTTGCAAAGTTTTCAAATGAAAAATATAGGGATGAATAGGTGGAACACAGGGTCAGTGAAACTACTTTTTAGGATACTGTAATGGTGAATCTATGTCCTTTTACATTTGTCAAAACACAGAATGTACAACATAAAGATTGAACCCTAACTTAAACTGTGGGCTTTAGTTAATAATTTATCAATACTGGCTTATCAATTGTAACAAATGTACCATACTAATGTTAATATAGAGAAAACTGTAGGGGATTGATATATGGAGATGCTCTATTTTCTGCTCCATTTTTCTGTAAACCTCTGCTCTGAAAAATAGTCTTAATAAAAAAAATGCACATAGCTTCTATATGGATATGTATCTCACTGAAATAAGGCTGCTGAAAAGCTGTTGCAATTTTTGACTAAAGGTAATATTGCTGCTATGCACCCTGAGTGTTTCCAAAGGTAACTAATATGATTATTTGGAAACCATATCATGAGAAACCAAGAAAGCTATGAATGTTTCTCTGAGGAGGAGAAAACTTAGTGGAAATGATTGAGGGACCCTTAGTGAAATAGGAAACAGATTTATTGTAGGTATTGTAAGCAAGGTCAGTTGTGAATGTTATACGCTGGAGCATCAAGTTTCTACTCCTAAAAAAGGAATAACCTAAAACAACAAAAAAGAAAAGAATAACCTTTTAACAGTAGATAAAATGAGATGACTCAAAGCAATAAGCTTTCTTTTAGTATTCAAGCAGTGACTAGATCCTTGAACAATGCCCTCATTGGGACAGTGGTTTAATATGATCACCTTTAAAGTTCATTATGACTCATAAGATTATATAACTCCTTGGCTTTTGCCACTGAGGTTTTGTTTTTTGTTTTTTGTTTTTTTTTATTCCTGTGATAATTAGAGAAGGAACAGCATTTGAAAAAATGGAGCATTTGGTGCCTCCATCAACAGGAGAATTAGGATGTTTGCCATGATGGGAAAAAGTTAATTCTGTTTTTTTCTCTTGAGATGTACCAGGGCTTCACAAAGAGAATCTAGAGACAAGTTGTATGTGTGTAAGTCTGTACACATACACATACACATACACACACACTTACAGATTATGTATAGAGTGCTTATAAATGTGTGTATATATATGTGCATGTGTATATGTGTGTTTATACATAAATATGTGTGGATGGATATATGTATAATATATACACACACAGACATTATAATTTAGGACTGATTTCTGCTACATACGCATTTTTACTTTTGATATAGAATACCTATTTTAAATTGTTTTTTTACCATATTTTTTTAAAGAATCATTTACTATTTTTCTACTAACTTCTTATACCTAATATGGAAGGAGTGCTGACCTTTGCTTTGACTTCCTGACTACAGCGCTCTGTCTTACTCACTGCTATCTTTCTTGCTTCTCTGAAGAACAGGAAATTACCAGAATGATACCAATCATTTTAACCCAATATTGGGTTCACTGTTTTTGTCATAGTTTTCCTATTTATTAAATAATGCTGTATTCACAGAATTTCTCTTTTCCTGGTACTTGCTTTGTCTCCTAAACAAAAGTTGATAAAGATATTACAAATGAATAATTTTTACTATGGGGAAACTTCATACCCTAGAGTATAATTTTCTCAGTTTACTTTTAGTAAGCAAACTTTTAGAGCACATCTTGTGTTTTCTACTTAGAATTGGGGATGGTGTGGAATCGAAACTGTTTATAAGGGGGGTGAATTTGACATTTCTATTCATCTGTATAGCAATCTTCTGGTTTTATTTATTGATCTTCCTCATTCATTTCTTCTTCTGGATTAATATTTGCTCTTTTTATTTTGACAGGCAGTGATGGTTTCAGAAAATTTTAATATAGAAGCTCCCAATTATTTGTCTGAGGAATCCGAAGTTCTAATTTATGCCAGACAAGATTCACAATGTATCGATTGTTTCCAAGCTTTTTTGCCTGTGCACTACCGCTATCATCGGCCACATAGTAAAGATGGAGAAACCTTTATTGTGGTCAATAACCCTGATTTACTGATGTATTGTGACCAAGGTGAGGGTTGCAAGTCTTTTCTGAGGGTTGAAAATAAAAATAAAAGTATGATGGCAAGTCTGAAGTCAAGGGCAGGGATGATAAAAGCATGTTTCTTTTTTCTTTTTTAACTTTTTGATTGTAAAGTAAACCATAGATACAGAAAAACTTCACAAGTAAATAGTAAATTATTATAAAGCAAACACTCTTGTAACTACCTTCCAGGTCAAGAAATAGAACTTTCCCAGTTACCTTAGCAGCAGCTCCGTGTGTCCTATCTGAATCATAGCTTCCTCATTTTTCTAAGACTAACCCACTATTCTGACTTTCAATTACTTCTTTATGTTTCTTTATACTTTCTTTTCACACAAGTGGGCACTCTTCGAGAATAAAGCTTCATCATGCCCATTTAAAGAAATGTATGGGGGCGCCTGGGTGGCTCAGTCGGTTAAGCGTTCGACTTCGGCTCAGGTCATGATCTCACGGTTCGTGGGTTCAAGCCCCGCGTCAGGCTCTGTGCTAACAGCTCAGAGCCTGGAGTCTGTTTAAGATTCTATGTCTCCTTCTCTCTCTGACCCTCCCCTGCTTACACGCTTGCTCACTCTTTTTCTCTCTCTCTCAGAAATAAATAAAACATTAAAAAAAAAGAAAGAAAAGAAATGTATTACTATTAAGTCTCTTAATTTACAGGTTCCCCTTCTTTCCCTTCCTTTTTTTGAAAATTACCTTTTTGAGGAGCACCTGGCTGGCATGGTCAGTAGAGCATAAGACTCTTCATCTCAGGGTTGAGTTCAATCCCCATGTTGGGCATGGAACCTACTTTAAAATAATAATAATAATAATAGAATAAAATAAAATATAAAATAAAATTTCACCTGTTGAGAAACCTGCATCATTTAACCTGAGTTTCTTATAGTTTGGGGTTTTGGTGATTACACTCATGCTGTTCATCTAGCCTCTTTATTTCCTGGAAGTTGGCCACTGGCTCCAGAGGTATGATCAGAGTCAGCTTTGATTATTTTGATAAGACTATAGGTGGTGCTGTGTTCTTGTATGATTAGGCATATAATGTCTAGTGTATTTTTTCAGCCATTGATCCTCTTCCCCTTTGCTGCTTTCTGTTTCTTCATGCTGATTTGCAGGACTTGCAGCTATTGGTGCTTTGTATCCACTTGCATGGATTTTGCATTTGTTGGGGATACTTTATCACCTAGTTTTGTTATAAATGCTGGCCATGAGTTTTGGGGGCATAATTTTTCTTTCTGTTTTACATTAAAATTTTTTTAAAGTTTATTTTCTTTTTGAGAGACAGAACACAAGCAAGAGAGGGGCAGAGAGAGGGGGAGACACAGAATCCAAAGCAAGCTCCAGGCTCTGAGCTGTTAAGCACAGAGCCCGACGCAGGGCTTGAACTCACAAACTGCGAGATCATTACTTTAGCCGAAGTAAGCTGCTCAACCATCCAGGCACACCTGTTCTTTCTGTTTTTATGTGTGCATTTGCGTAAATTAAAAACTATGCTTTCCCCATTTTCAGTCTTCCTAGAATCAAGAATTTAAGAATCCCCTTTCAGATTTTGGGTTTTTGTGTCTCCAAATTTGGGTTGATTGGAATATTCACAAATTAGTAGCACTAAAGACTGGGAAATTGGAAGTTTTTAATCCTACTCTGCTGCCATCATATTTTTCATGATGAGAAAATAATAAAGTGTTCAATTCTGCTAAATTTGTTCATCCAACCTATCTTGCTTCCTTTTAATTATCTAAAGTTTGAAAAAGTGCCTTCTCTTGAGAGAACATCTGGGGTTCTGGTATTCATTTATTTATTTATTTTTATTTGGTCTGAATGCTCTTTTATATGGGTTTGTTTACTCTGGAATTTTTTTTGGTTATATGCTTAGGATCTGTTCATTTTTCTGAATATATGTTATACTTCAGAAAAGTTTAAGTTAAATTTTTAATATTTATTTATAAATTTTATTTTAGATTGAGTGGGGGAGAGGGGCAGAGGGAGAAAGAGAGAATCCCAAGCAGATTCCATGCTCAGCACAGAGCCTGTTGTGGGGTTAAATCTCATGACCCTGGGATCACGACCTGAGCCAAAGTCAAGGGTTGAACACTGAATGAACTGAACCACCCACGCACCCCTATGTTAAAGTTTTTTTTTTTTTGTTTTTTTTTACAGTTTATTGTCAAATTGGTTTCCACATAATAACCCAGTGCTCATCCCAAGTGCCCTCTTCCATGCCCATCCCCCCCTCCCCCATCCATCAGTCCTCCGTTTTTGTCAGCATTCAAGAGTCTCTCATCATGGTTTGCCTCCCTATGTTAAAGTTTTTATTTTTTATTTTTTTAAATGTTTTATTTATTTCTAGGAGAGAGAGAGAGACAGTGTGAGCAGGGGATGGTCAGAGAGAGAGGGAGTCACAGACCGAAACAGGCTCCAGGCTCTGAGCTGGCAGTCAGCACAGAGCCCGATGCGGGGCTCGAACCCACGAACCACGAGATCATGACCTAAGCGAAAGTCGGACGCTTAACCGACTAAGCCACCCAGGCGCCCCCGTATGTTAAAGTTTTTAAAATGTGGTGCCTCCTGTAGGGGATTTGTTAAGAGGTCATGTTTAACTTCTGCACAGTCTCAGTAATTTTGTAATTTCTTAGGCATCCACCTAGAACAGGCTGCTAAAATAAAACAGCATGTTGTGATATATGGATTCAGGTCATGTACATTATGTACTAAAATGTTTGAATACTTACATCTCAACATGAAATATTGGCCTAACCTCTGTGTAATCCAGATATAGGCTTTCTGATATGGTGTTCTACCATTTCTTTTCAGAGTTTCCAATTTTGAAATGCTGGGCTCAGTCAAAAGTGGCAGCTCCTTGTGCTTTGAAGAATAAGGATATCTGCCAATGGAACAATATGAAATATAAATCAGTGAGTTAATAGTTTATGTTGTTTTTAGATCATGCTGCCTCATTTAAAACTCATAATGTTTCTGCCACATTTAAAGGATTAGCCTTTTATATTCTACCATAGAAAGCTGTGTTTTGTTTATTTTCAATGTTGTTTCTTTGCTACTAATGGCAACAGTGGTTCCTCCTTTATATAGAGTCATAGAATCATTTCATTTGAGGGCTGGATATTTAGGGTTAGTTCCATGCCTCATTGGTCCAGAGTTTAAGTATAACTAGTATGCCTTTTTTTTTTTTTTTTTAGATGTTTATTTATTTTGAAAGAGATGGGGAGAGAGAGAGCAAGTAGAGGAAGGGCAGAGAGAGAGAGAGAATCCTAAGAAAGCTCTGTGCTGTCGCACAGAGCCCAATGAGGGGCTTGAACTCATGAACTGTGAGGTCATGACTTGAGCCAAATCAGGAGTTGGATGCTTAACCAACTGAGCAACCCAGGTTCCCCCCTCTCCTTTTTAATGTTTGTTTTGAGAAAGAGAGAGTGAGAGAGACCAAAAATTAATAAAAAAGATATACTAACTTTTAAACAAAATAATTTCACTGTATTGCACAGAACAGGTGAAAAAAAAGAAAATAAGACTCAAAGTAGTATTTCAACTGTGATAAAGTTTTAGACCATTATATTGCAATTTGTATACCTAAATTTAGGTTGTTGCTGGCCATTTTTATAGTTTTAACCTCCCAACTTATTTTCAGCTAATAAATTAGGTAGGTATTCATACTTCATTAACTTTGGCTTTGTCTAAGGAGTGTACGGTTTTCTATTTACGTTCTTTAGTTAACATAGTCTACTTTTCCCCTCTCTTTGGAGTGGCTAGTTTTATTGAATACATCTCTTCTCTTTTTCTTTTTTTCTTCTGTCCTTTCCTTCCTCTTTTATGAGCTGCATTTTAACTGATGGTTGTAATATCTGTTTGTGTTTCTCTTTGTCCCTAATTCTCTTTAAGGCCTGCTTGCTTTGGTTGAGTAGCGCAATCCGTGTCTTCATTTTTACAATTTACTTTTTTACAAGGAGTCAAATGGATTTGCAACAAAAGTAAAATAAATTTAAAATATTAGACAGCCTGTGAGTCAATAAACATAAAGCAGATTTGTTCATATGTGCAATTGTGGATATTTAGATTTTGAAGTATTTTCTTTAGAGTTGTGCTTTGAAGTCTGTCTACGAGCTAGCTGAGAAAATAACTACTTAGAGTTCAGGCTTACTGCAAAGCACTGCTATTTTGTTGTGGAGAACTTTCTTAGAATTGACAGTTGGTAAGATGTATGACTGTGCCAATATCTTTTGCAATGTACAGTTGCTTTTGAGTAAATTTCCATTCCCATATGGAACCCAATTTTTTTTTTCTCAAACTCTGAAATACATCTGGAGAATTACATTTGATTTTCTTATGTGAATGAAGAGTATAATCAGTGTTTACTTATGATTTATTAATTTAAGGGACACCTGGGTGGCTCAGTCAGTTGAGTGTTGACTTTGGCTCAGATCATGATCTCACAGTTCTTAAGATCGAGCCCCGCATTGGGGTCTGTGCTGACAGCTCAGAGCCTGGAGCCTGCTTTGGATCCTGTGTCTTCCCCCTCTCTCTGCCCCTCCTCTACTCGTGCTCTTTATCTCTCTCAAAAATAAACATAAAAAATTAAAATATTGGTTGTGTGCATTGCTACAAAATAAGTAATTACCTTATTAAAATATTTTGAATTCAGTTCTTTTACACCATGTAACTTGAAATAAGAGGTCATAATTAAGCCCTTTGAAGTGTGTGTGTTAACATTGCTTGTTTATATATACCAGAAAAATAGGTGACCATCACTAAGGTGGTGATCTACACTAAAGCTTGTATGGTTTAGACACCATTTTTTTTAATAGGGTGGCTTTATTACAGATTATGTTGGTAACTTGTTTTTTTAATGTGAAATTATAATCCAGATATTTATAAAAAGAAACAAAAATAAGAGTAGTCCCAACTAAGTTGAACATAGGAGAACTTTTGTATTGCTGGTAGTACGACAACAAATTTGATGTACCAGTAAAAGACCCATTCAGTTATGTAATTTGTGAATAACAGACTTTTAAAAGCTCTTTTGAAGGAGGAAACAACAAAACAGGAGTAAATGGATACTTAACTTTATTGTTGTTTTAATATTTTTCCTTTAGGGCTTTAACTGTGAGAGAATTCTGTATTCTAATAGTCAGAGGAAGTAAATGCTCATATTGATTACAGAGGTGATGATGGGACATAGCCAGCATCTGCACAAAGCAGAAAAAGTCAAAACTAATGAGAATTTAAGGATTATTATGGGAATTCAGTCTGATTCTGTTATATTAAATGATGAATCCAAAAGAATCACTCAAAACAGTACTGTTACATGTAGTGTAGCACTGTCTGGAAGATATTTAAAAGTAACAAATTAAATTAAAAATTAAAGAAATTGTGGTTTTACCTTAGGGCGTGCATTTTAAATATCTCTAACTTCTCTCTCTCTCTCTCTCTCTCTCTCTCTCTCTCTCTAGGTATATAAGAATGTGACTCTACAGGTTCCAGTGGGACTGACTATACATACCTCTTTAGTATGTTCTGTGACTCTGCTCATTACCGTCCTGTGTTCTACTTTGATTCTTGTGGCTGTTTTCAAATATGGCCATTTCTCCCTATAAGTTTTATGGCGTTAAATGCTTTCCATAAACCTAAATAAGACTTATTTATTGGTGACTAGAAGTGTTCTTCTAGAATTATGTCATTATTTTTGTCTTCATTTATGACTAAAATTATGTCTACTAAGGGGAAATTTTGGATCATTTTCAACTAATTCCAAAATTAATGGTCTGATGTATAGACTTTTGATAATCTTCAAGCAAGTGTCAATAGAGGAAACTTAATTTTGCTAAATTAATATTTATTTTGTGAGAAGTGATTTTATCTTCATTTTGGTTACAAAAATGGGTACTTTATGTATTCGAGACGAATTATTCTCATTTTATGAGTGGAAACATTTAAATTTCAGCTAAAAATTGAGAAAATCATTATAAATAATAAAATATTTTGGATGAATCAGTTTATTTAAACATTAATTTTATGAGAATATTAAAGTTACTTATCCAGAGTTTAAAGAAAATAAAGTAGGACAGCTAAGAAATTATTACTATCAAAATTGATTATTCCTTAAAGCATTTCCATACTTCTTTTATATTTTATTATACTGTTTTGAATATGTGAATTTGCAAAGGGTTTGATGAAACTGCATACTAAGATTTAGTTTTGATTTAGTACTGAATTTGTCAGGAAGACAATTCACATTCTCATTTTTAAAGAATATATTTTATTAAGTTGTACATGAACAAAAAATCTTCTTGCATCTTCAGTGATTTTTTTTTTAAACAAAAGCTCTTGATCTACTATTTTTCTTGGGAAAAAAATTAGAAAATAAAGTCAGCACTACACTCTAATTAAAAAGGTAAGCATATCCTTCTGTTTATTTAGGGCAATGCATTTAGAACAAGGATATTCCAAAACGGAAGCCAATAAACCAGGGTATGTTGCCAATGTTTGTGTCACATAGAGTAATGGAATGATAAACATTTATGTATGATATCCCTGCTTAATTTCCTAAAATATTCTGGTGTTTTTATGGGAATAAATCTTTTATAATTTGACGTGTATGACTTGACTAGTCATAATAGTTCTTTTTAAAGATGTGTTTAAGAACTTAAGTATTGAAAAAAGCAACCAAGTGCCATAAAACAGAAATATTAGAGATCACTAAAATTTCAACCCAATCTAATTGTATACTTGTTTAATGTTTTCTTATAAGAAAGAATTCCATGTTTTTTACAAGCATTTCTTTCACACTGGAATTTATATAGTGGCATTGAAATAAAATTATATGTCAGTTAAAATTCAGTAAAATCAACAAACTTTTTGAAATATGGAGAGGGAAACATGATACCTCTTAAGAGTATATGTGGAGTAGAAGACAAAGTGTACATATATCTTTATTTTCTTTTGCATATTGGAACCAGGTTTCATCAGTATTTAAACAAGTTTTCAACTTAATATTTGAGATGGTGGTTTGGAACATGATTCAGCATCCACTTACGCATTTATACAGGTATTCAGAAGTGTAATAAAAATGTGAAAGTAAGGGGGCGCCTGGGTGGCTTAGTCGGTTGAACGTCCGACTTTCGCTTAGGTCATGATCTCGCGGTTCGTGGGTTCGAGCCCCGCGTCGGGCTCTGTGCTGACTGCCAGCTCAGAGCCTGGAGCCTGCTTCAGATTCTGTATCCCCCTCTCTCTCTGACCATCCCCTGCTCATGCTGTCTCTCTCTCTCTCCTAGAAATAAATAAAAATATTTTTAAAAAAAAATGTGAAAGTAAGTGAAGAGTACTTTCATATGACTCTTCTTGCCTAATAAGTGGTAGCTAATGACATCACTTTTAATACAATGGAACATTTCTGTTTCGAACTCTCTGTATTATCCTTTGGATGCTTAAAAAATGAATAAGCACTTTATTTTTTTTAATTAAAAATTTTTTAAAATTAAGCTCTGTTCCCAAGGTGGGGCTTGAACTCATGCCCCTGAGATAGTCAATGCTCTGTCTACTGAGCCAGCAAGGTGCCCCTAAGCACTTTATTTATTTATTTATTTATTTATTTATTTATTTATATTTTTAAGAGAGAGAATGTGAGTGAGTGAGAGCACAAGAGGATCAGAGAGAAAGAGGGAGAGACAGAATATGATCTTGCAGGTTCTGTGCTCTCAGTGCAGAGTCCAACAGGGGAGAGGGCTCCATCACATGACCTGCAAGATCATAATCTGAGCTGAAATCAAGAGTTCGAAGCTTAACCAGCTGAGCCACCCATGGACCCCTAAGCACTTTACTTTTTAAATCAGTTTTGTAATTCCATCTATGGACTTTTTTGTTTAAAGCCAAGAAAATAGATACTGTCCTATTAGTCATTTTGTTCCAGCATCTGCTCCACTTTTATGGTTTAGTTTTCTTAAAGTAGTATGTTCTTTTGGATGAACATAATAGAGACATGGGTTACCTCAACTAAGGGTGGTGATGGGGCAGAGATTGTGTGTGTGTGTGTGTGTGTGTGTGTGTGTGTGTGTGTGTATGTATGTGTGTATCCAAGCCACTCTACCAGGAATTTAGATTATTTAGCTAGATCTCAGGGAAGATAGTATATTTATGGATTGGGAACTAGAAAGATCTATTGCAGCTCTAATGATTTCAGAATATAATGTGTTTAGGGACTATTCTAGTAAGATACTCTATTTCAAGCTGCTCACCTATATTTTGATAATTAGTGCTTATTTGTAAGATATGGAGATCAATTACGGTGAGATGACCAAAACCTATCTGCGTTATCCTCCAAACTTACAAAGTATTCTTTTGGCAGGTAGTTGAATGCAGAGTTGAGAGAATGAAATAATGTGTATTAAGTATCTTCAGGATTGTCCTAACCAGTGGTAGGATGGGTAGGTTTAGCTATCTATCTGATTTGCATCTCAGAACTTACTCCTAGAATCTGTTTCCTCCTGAAGTTTATCTTTTTTTTTTTTTTTTTTAATTTTTTTTTTTTTTTTTTTTTTT